AGCAGAGAAAAACCCTGATAATCATATGACCCCCACATGAGCAAGCACTGTGGCTCATGGAGGAGCGGCAATCTGCCTCAACCGGCTGGTGTGAGGGACAAAAGATATGCCGTGGAAGAGAGCCAGAGATTAATAATAACTAATAACTAGAAAAATTTGCATTTCCTGCGAAAATGCTGTGTGGATGCCTTAACGCTGAAGATGTCGGCTGAAAAAAGCTGAAAAAGTTGAAAAAAACAAAACAAAAAACATTGCACTGAGCAGGATTCAAACCTGGCCCTTCTGGTCTAAAGGCAGCGACTCACCTCACAGCACCAAACTCATTCTCACAAAGAAAAGGTGGATAGACTGACAATCCTGGTGAAATTAGCAGAAGCTGCTTAGAATTGTGCTGATAAGAGGTGAAAAGGCTAAAAACTTTGCAGAAAAGAGGTGAATCAGAAGAATTTCTGCTGAAAAGAGGTAAGGAAGCACAAAGATGAGCTGAAAAGAGATGAATCAGCAGAATTTCTGCTGAAAAGAGTTTTTTCTGAAAACAGCAGAAAAAACTGAAAATTTTGCTGAAAAGAGTTCAATCAGCAGGATTTCTGCTGAAAATAGTTTTTTCTGAAAACAGCTGAGATTTGTGCTGATAAGAGGTGAAAAGGCTGAAAATTTTGCAGAAAAGAGGTGAATCAGCAGAATTCTGCTGAAAAGAGTTCAATCAGCAGAATTTCTGGAAAAGCTTAAAATTCTAATGAAAACAGCAAAAGAGGCTGAGATTTCTGCTGATAAGAGGTGAAAATGCTGAACCAATCAGAGGTACTGCTTCTGTCTGCTTCATCAGGCTGTGTACTTGTATGTATTTCTGCCATAGACTGTTAACAAGAATCTGAGGTCCATATTAGAAAAGCTGGTAAAATCATAAAACTTTGCAGAATTGTAATAAATTATTAATATAAATTACAGGTCTGTGATAGTGTATAAATTTGTAGTGAAAAAAAAAAAGTTGAACAAGGTGGAATCGAACCCACGACCTACCAATCACGCCACCTGGAAAGGGGGCGGGCGTCTGAAAAACAGGCTGATGAGCAGTCAGAATTAGATCGCGATGAGAGGCAAAAAACGCCGTTCTTTGGAGTTACAAAACGTCGTGTAACTCAAAAACTAGGTGGGATAAAATCATAATTCTTGTACTGGGTGAATCAGCGGACTTTGGTGAACTGTGACTGCGATTTTCATAGCTCTTTGTAACTTCGTCGCGGAGATATGACGAGAGAAGACACGGCTTCATTTTCGGAGTTTGAAAAATGAGAGGAGGACAGATTTCCACCCCTCAAACAAACGTAATTTATGGCTCAACGGTAAGATGACTGCAAAAACTGCTTCGACCTTGAGTGTCAGCACTGTCTGAAGATGAATTGGCACAAGCCTCATGTCTTAACTTTGCTTTGTTAAGGAGATATGATGATTTGAAAATGCCTCTCATTAGAGAGTTCCAGCTGTGATTTTGAACAAAGTCCCCATTCATTTTCTATGGAGAGTTTTCAGACATTGTGTTGCTCTGAGGCGATTTGATAAAAATCTGTAACTTCCACAACAGTGATAGTGACATTTTCTGAAAGCCAGCAAAAATACCTACGTTTTGATGTATAATTTGTGGAAGTTGAGTGGAAATTGAGCGAGTAGCAAGAAGTTGTTTGGACATGAAGAGAAAATTCGCAAAGTTTCACTGTCCACTCTGAGTTAATTGCATAGCAACCATAGCAACGCATGTATTTTGTGAAAAATCACAAAGCTGCAACTGAAAACTTCAAGAGGCATTAAATGAAAATGGTAACAGATATGAAAAAGCTGAATCACACAGGAATAGCCCAATCATTTGAGACCGTTTTAAAGTTTGAATGGAGTTTCTAGGTGAAAGTATGAGGAAGTAGTTAAGTTTGAAAAACAAGCAAGTTTTAGCAGAATTGTGGAAGTTTTCCATTCATTTCAATGGGACAAATTAAAGGAAAAAAGCTTAATATTTTAAAAAGTATAATAGTAATAAACACCAAAAGATATAGCCGGCATTAGCAGAAAGAGCAGAACAGTTTAGAGTTTGAACGGAGAAAATCGGCTGAAAACTGAGGGAGTAGTTCAAACTCAAAAAACGTACGGAAGCGACAAGAATAAAGGATAAAGAGAAACAGGAACTCAATAGTGTGGATGCCCACTGAGGGCATCCACACAATTAAATGCAGAGAGGTGTATAACACAGTGACTGAGAAAGGTGACTGATAAAGAAACACTCAATGCATCATGGGAATTCCCCAGCAGCCAAGACCTATTGCAGCATGAGTGAGAGGATTTAGAGTGACCTGTACAGCTCTAACTGTCGCGGCGGGGTGCGCCGGTGTGAAGAATGAGGTAGCCCCAAGAGCAGACACGGTGGAGACAGAACTGGGTTTCCAAAATAAGGCAAGCCTTTATTGTGGCTGAAGGCACAAACTAAGAAGACAGAGAACACAGTGTAAACTAAAAAGGCTAAGACACTCTGTGAAGGAACTATGGAAAAAACTATAAACACAGAGTAACTAAGCAGGCTATGAAACACAGTGTTACAATAAGGGAAAATACAAGGTGAGGATAACAGACGATCTGACACTGACACAAAGACACACGGGGCTTAAATACACTGAGGAAGTCATCAAGGAATTAGAGACAGAAGGGGAACACAGCTGGGAGGAATAAGACCTAATGAGACAGGGGGAACAAAGCTAGAAACACTGACATAAGAGGGGAACAAGAACCTTCAGAGTAAAACAGGAAACAAGACACCACTAAACAAAAACGCAGACACGACACAGAGACACAGACTAGACACTGAACTAAACCTGCAATAAACATGAGAACACAAAAACCTACGACCTAATCCCTAAACAAGAATAACCGAAACATAGAGTCATAATCATCATTATCATCATAATAAGAAAAGAATCCAAAATGCAAAAACACACCAAAACATAACTCAAAATACTGGGTCAAACTGACCCAGAACCGTGACAGTAACTATGCTTTATCAAAAAGGAACGTTTTAAGCCTAATCCTTAAAGTAGAGACAATGTCTGCCTCCTGACTCCAAGCCAACATAGGAGAAATATGCTCCCTCTTTCTAGCCCCTGTCAGTGCTCTTGCTGCAACATTTTGGATTAACAGAAGGACATCCTGATAATAATGAATTATAGTCGGGCAGCCTAGAAGTAATAAATGCATGAACTAGTTTTCCAGCGTCACTCTGAGACAGGATATTTCAAATTTTAGAGATACTACACAAATGGAAGAGAGCAGTCCTACATATTTGTTTAATATGTGCATTGAAGAACATATCCTGGTCACTTTAATTGGACAGCTGCTTCAGAGCACTCCAGCCTATTTTAAACGAATCCCCATCAACCACTTCTGTTATTCAGCTGTAGTGCTGTTTCTGTCTAAAGTTCAGTCTGTTTAAGAGTAATTTTATATTCTAATTTTTTATTTAAATTTCTCGTTTGGTTGTTCACCAATTTGGCCCACGCTGTAAGCTAGTACTACTGATACTACTACTAACAACAATAATGCACAACAGACCCGACCTCATGTTTGCACTTTTCAGCACTTGTTAACACTTTTTTTCGTTGCGGTTGCTGTTCACAGCAATACTCACATCTGCAGCTTTCCAGCTCCCAGCCGCCCATACACCACCAACAACAGCCAGGACCCAGTTCAGTCTGTTTTAAGCTGGCGAGGCGTGATTGCGGGTGCCGCTCAGGTGTGTCCTCGTCCCCCGCAGCCGCGCCACAGACCATGCCCAACCACAATACTACTACTACTGCTATTACTACTAATAGTTGAAATGACTCCGGAGGGTGGAGCTGAAACACTAAAAGCTTTGGAGGTTGGTGTGACTGACAGAAAGCAGACCCATGGCTGAGGAGCGTTGCACCTGACACTGTGTATGGGTGCAGCAGGTCGGACAGATACTGATGGATTTGTAAATGATATGAAGAATTTTGTAAATTATTTATAATTTCAAACATTTCATTGGGCAAAGTGTGCGGGAAACACTTCTGCTTCTGCTTATCTTTCACAATAAAAGCCCTGGACGTTAGACCATGTGACTTCTATACTCCTGGAGCAATATGTACAACTCTTGATATGATAATCATAAGATAATCAGATCCTATGTCCTGCATTAAATATGTAAACAGTTTTCTGCTTTTTTGTTAGGAATACCTCATAATTGGTAATACCTGGTGTAAGCGCCAGACGTCTGCTTTATATTTTTATTTACGATTGAGTTCATGTTTGTTTTATAACTCATAGATTCATTACATAAGTCATTTTTTCAGGATTAATAAATGTGAAAATATATGTGTTTACATAAAGTACTTTTAAGTCAGTGTTTTGGGATTGTAACCTAAAAGGGGGTACCTCTCACTTTAAGTATGTAAGTGCTAGTAGCATGAAACCCTGTGTGAGAGGGAAGGGGAGGAGCATGGACAGAGAAGTTAGGAGTCTCACTGGTGGTGTAATTGGGTGTGCGCAGGATAACACATATTGTGTTATAACACACACTTTGTTATCCTGCTAGAAACTCTATCAAAGACGCAGCACTCTTGTGTTGGTAATTTCAAAAAAGTCCTGTTTAAACTGAAGCAGCTGCTTACTTTTGCGATTTTAAAGGCAATGTTTCATTCGATTTGTTTCGTGTTTTTGTTTTTTTTTATGTTGTTGTTGTGCTGGTTGCACCTTTCCCTCTTTGTATGTTCCTGTTTGTCTAATATTTCCTCTGGCTCCTTACAATTAAAACATTATTTAGTCGTTATAATAAAGTGAAAAGATGTAACTTATTCAACAACTTAAAGATTTATTGAGTCGGAGTCACTGTTGTACATTTCAGAATCAAAGAGACAAACATGGTACGAATATACATTAAATTCACCTGTGAAAATGTTAAAATAGCACAAATAAATTAATGTTTGTGTTACATACTTTACAAAAATAAATATATATAGATGCAGATATATAAATGTGCATATGCTTAGTAATCACAACTTAAGCCTGAAGATAGGCTGAGGAATTAAATGCATTTATATTTTGTGATGAGAACGAGAGCTGTGCTGCTCCTTCTTCTTAATACACACATGTTGTAACAGCACTAAACATGCAAAGTGCATCATGATGATTCTGGCACTGCAGCCGATGCTGTCGTTGTATAAGGGCTGACTGTGGTATTTTTCATCTGATTCCTGTGAAAACAACATATCAGAGAGATGAGGCTGGGTTGCAAAAAAAAAATCACAACTTTTAAAGCTTTAACAACAAAATCAACCAACTTTTTTGTCTTATTTACTTTCTGAATAAAAAAAGGATCTTGATTTGGAAAAAACTGCTTCTGTAAAACCATCAGTATTTTTAATCACTGATGTGCAGAGCCTCACTCTGATGCCCCAAAGTGACTGTTGATGTTCCTGTTTTAACTTCACTGACTTCCTGTCTAACATTTAACTCACATTAAGTTGAACACCAGTGAATGATAGAAAAAACATCTGTGTGACTTACAGTTTTTCTAGCAGCATTATGGTGAATTTTGACTGAGGATCGAGACACCGTTCACTCCCATCCTTCAGTGTGACACTGTAACATGTAAAGAAAGCTTTGATATAAAACCACTTTATAAACAATCCTTATTAATGACTGAGCTCTTATTAATAATGTGCTCCTGTCACTGTGGGCACTTACATGACTTCTCTCCTGTTGCAGTATGGACGAGGCTCATCCACCTTAACTTCAGTGATGGGACCTCTTACAGACTTACTGGTGTTCAAACACCGGCACCTTGGAATAACTGGAAAAGGTAGAAAGTGATAATTAATGTTAAACTGCTGCAGTTTCATATTTTACTTAAACATAAATACATTTAAATAGATTTGTTTTCATAATTCAGCTCCACTCAAGATGCACAAATACACCAATTTTTTCCATAATCTGATAAAACACACTTACTTAATGAAGTGCAAAGGGCCATGCAGGCCAGGAGAACGATGCACTGGATGGCAACACTTGTCTTCATCTTAAAGCTTTTCAAGTATTGAGTGGAGGATCTACTGAAGGCTCAGTCTTCAACTGATTTGTTCTTCTCAGATATGAAGGATGTCTGCTGCTGTGCGTCTCCTTCACTTCTCGAGCTGCCTGAGTGTGCAGGGCTGTGAGGTTCATCATCTCTGAACTCCTTATATACACTCACAGCTACATGGACTCTGGCCAAGGATGTCTTCCTAAGAAGTGGCTGCAAAAAATACTTTCGGATGTCTGTCCTCCCACAGAGGAAATCCTGCTGTCGCAATCCTTTGGCATTTAAACTTTATACGTTCACTTACTCGCAAAGATTTCCTGTGCCACTGGTTGATGTTGAGACCTGCCTGCCTTCAGGTGTCGTTTGTATCTGTTGAAATTGATGTCACAGTTCACTTGTTTTGGACTCACTCCAATCACTCACATGTGAGTTTTGCTGATAAAGGATATTTTGTATCTCTGATCTACTTACAGAGGTGAAATGCAATAAAGTCTTTATATGATCAGTCTAATATTAATAATTTAGACAGCTCAAATTATGATATGTTATGATTTGCCTAATATTTTACTGTTTCTGATGCACTCTGCTTAAAGTTTACTTACACTTCTCTTTATGATAAAAGTGTTTGAACACTTTCCAATAAATAAAATAAATAAATAAAATGATAAAAAATGGGAAGTTCCTTTAAACACAGCTGAAAAGATCATTTTCTATTCATTGTTTGCAGATGTGCATGTATATCATTGCATTTAGTAAATGCAGTAAATCTGTTAGGGTGTGGGAATGCAAGAAAAAACGTCTCCATCACTTTTAAAAATACTGAAATTCTCAGATTAATAAGGTCACCAATTACAGCAGAAACCAAGGCAGACTTCGTCATTAAGAATGTTTCACACTTTCTTCTCCACTCCTTCAACGTGCTTCCACTGGACAGGTATATTCAGGTATTTTGACAGATACCTTGCATGAAGACATGTAGCCTATTTGGACGCCTCTGAAATGTATGAAATAGTAGCAGTAGCAATGTAGTAAAGGGACTGGTGCTGGTGTGTGTGCTTATTATAACTCAGTCTTTTTTTTGTGAAGAGGGGAGCGAGTTCAGCCTCTTGTCAGTCTGGTGGGTGAGGCTGTTTCTCCTTCAGTTTCCTGCCCTTAGCTAGAAAACACCAGACGATGTTGTGTGAATGATATGGGAAGTCAGTCACAGTCAGCTAGTCCCTGGGCTAGATGGGTTTTAGATCTAATCTTATTCTTGTGATGAAATCAGTGTGAGTCATGCTCAATTCCAGCACTTGCAGACATTAGCAGCTACACTGGAAATAATAACAAGTCCCTATGTGTTTGTCTTATCCGTCTACTGTGTTGTGACAGACATCAGCATTACTGTGGTGAATATCAGTTTTGCACATTTGGATTTGCGTATTACGCACCAGTCTACCGTTGTTTACAGCGCAGTCTCCTGCTGTTGTTTTTAAATGACTTCCTACAAGAAAATCTAATTTCTGCTGTTCAATACCAGAGAAGTGTAAACTTTTTAAAATTCTGAGAAATTGCAAAACCCTTGGCTGTGTCTCTAATAAAACCTCTGTAACTTTGCTCTGCTTCACTTCGGCAGCATCAGGTAATGTTCATATGTTGGTTCATGGTTTTCTTCTGTTTTTGATCTACTGCAGAGTATTTTTCAAGGTTAACTGCTATAAAAAGACAAGCCAAGAAATTTCCTTCATGTTTTTCTGTGTTTCATCCTCTGTTACTTTGACAGAATGGCATCTGCTGTGATGTTTACACCTCTGATGAAGTCTCACAACTGTCAGTACTGATAAATGAAGAATTACAACATTTCTGTCTGAATCAAAATTGAATCGTAATGGAATCGGTTCTAGAAATCCCAGCCCAATTGGTTATGCTGCAAGAGGTCTAGGCTGCTGGGTGCTTTCTATGATGCACTGAGTGCTACTTCTTCACTTTTTATTGTATTTAGTCACTAGTTATTATTAGTCTGTGGCTCTCTTTCACAGCGTGTCTTTGTCCTGTCTTCCTCCTCTGAGCCTGCTTCTGTCAGAGGTTTCTTTCTGTTAAAAGGGAGTTTTTCCTTCCCACTGTCACCAAGTACTTGCTCATAGGTGG